CAAAAGTTGCCATGCCATAGCTTAAATAGAAGCTGTCAAAACAAGCTCATTAATGCAAGTTGCCGACATTATCGTCCAGGATTATTGGCATATCATCCTGGCCGATTAGTTTAAATATGAGGAAAATCATCCTGAATATCGCCCTGAAATGAAGCTGGACGATGTCTAATTGGCCCGGATGATCTGGAGATCATCCAGGACGATTTGACCATGTAATTGCTTTCCTTAAATTCAAGAGAAATTTTGGAAAAATTGACCTGGATCATCCTGGACGATACTTTATAGTCCTAGACGATCCTCTGGACGATGTCCAAAAATAGGTTATTTCTAAATAGATATGGCGGCAGATTCTTGCTGAATTGAGCCTATCATCCTGGCCGATACAAAATCGTCCAGAATGATGTGTTTTGCATAATGATAGCTGCTTTAATGAAGATGCCCTAATTAGGGTTTCTACTTTTGTCCGATCATTCAGGACGATATAAATATCATCCCGAACGATGTTACCAAAAATAGAAATCTTTTAGGGCACAATAGAAAATCTTCCAAGTTACAAATCATTAGATGCCACACCAAATACAATAGACTCAAGAAAGGAAAAAGATTACAAACTGACACAAACCTAGTCTACCCAATCTCTAGCTGGTTCTAAATTGCAGTCTGATCGTGTGGACCTGAAACATTAGAACATAAGATAATCGTAGAGAAATAAGGAATATTTGCTATCATCAAAATCATAAACCATAGATCCGCAACTATCTCCCCCTTTTTGATGATGACAAATAATTCAATTTGAATTTTCAAAAAAGTAATATCTCCTAATCTCCCCCTCACTAGAATAAACCCTTTTAAAAAATATGGGAGAAAAATATTTTTGTTGTTTTAAATTTTTTGAAAAGAAAAAAAAATGATATAAATTCAACATTACGTTCTCCCCCTTTTACATTATCAAAAAGAGAAGAGGCACAAAAAACAAAACGAACAAAAGATAAAAACATTCCCTGATCTAGTGAAAAAGTAAATATTCTTAAAATGAGAAAGTTACCTCTTGGTTTTAATCAAAAACTTAATAGAATTGGATTGACAACGCATAATTCAGAAAAAAGTAAGAAATTCATAAATTGTTAATCCAAGCTCAAGTTCTTTTAAAGGCTAAAAAAAACTTTTTAATTCAGTATCCAAATCAAGAAATAAACAAGAAAAAGAAACATTAATTTTTTTAAAACTCCTTTCATAAAACATATCTAATAGAAGATCAATGCACGAATTGCTGAATCAGAAACAGAAATTTTCAAGCACAAGTTTCGAACATATCAAGGATTTTCTTAAGTTTTTAATAGTATAAGAAAGATAAGCATATTTTTTTAGTGGGCTCAATTTGTGCCCCCTTTATCACTTGACTGGCTCTTTGAGCATCTTTTGATTTTAATACACTTTGTGTATTTTTTTTTTATTTGGCATCATTGCGCATCTTTTGTTTTGGCATCATTGGCCACTTTTTTTTAATTATTTTTAAAAAATATGCTTTCTTTCCTATATTTTCAAAACCAAAGTAAACCTAAATTATTGACAACACGAAGAACTTGATTAAAGAACTTTTATGGTGGATTTAACAATCTTGCAAAGATTCCTATGCGATAGAAAAAATGTAGGGAGTTAAAAAAATCAGTTTCAAAAGCCAATTTAAAATATGATGAAGATTTTGAATCAAAAGTAAAAAAACCTCTTTTTTTTTTTGAAGAACTGCAATTTGCATTAAGGAGAAAAATGAAAAGAACTAATTACAAACATCAAAAGGATGATACTCTTCCTTGATCAAACTAGCCATCAAGGGAGGGATATCATCAAAAGAAAAGCTATCAAAATAAAAACTATTCTCTAAAGCCATAGTAGCACACAAGTTGGCAACCTTATTACATTTCCTATAAGCATGTAGAAAGACAACTTTATTGAAATCATTCACAAATAAAGAATCTCGTACCAAATTGAATTTCATAATCCCTTTGTTCTGCTTCAAGGAGTTTTGAATGTAGTTTATAACATTAATGTTATCACTTTCCACAATCACACCTTTATAGTCCCTCATCCAGCTTTTGACATAGTCCTTGACTGAGAGAATTGCTCCCATCTCCAACTGTGCTATATCCCAATGCATCATCTTCTCCCCAAATGCAAGTATGAACCTACCATTGCAGTCTCAGAACACACCACCAATTTCAGCAAAGCCCGAAGTAGTTAAGGAAGCATCAATATTGATTTTCATCCATTCTTTCGGTGGGGGGCACCAAGAAACATGAGACTCCCTGAGGAGGTTAGTGCTCCAGTTAGAAAGAGATGGACTAGTCATGTTAATGGCCACTGATAATATATTAGAAGCAACCACATAAGAATGAATTGCAGTTTTGCCATGCTTAATCTCATTCCTATTTTTCCAAGAGAAGTAAACAATGGTACAATAGATTTGTACAGTACCCAGATTATTTGCTAAAATTTTCTTAAGTTCCTTGAGACAATGATCCAAGGAATGAAAAATTGGAATAGAAATACACCAACCAACAAGCTGATTGATGATTTCAATCAAATACTTACATTGAACAATGATATGTTCATAGTTCTCCACCATTACACAACCTCTAGCACAAGAATCATTATCCAGGAGCTTACGGTTCTTAAGATATAGGTTGGTAGGAATAGATGAATTCCCAAGTCTCCACCAAAACATCTCCACCTTCTTGCTTAACTTGAGTTTATTCAGCCAACTATAATATTCATCATCAATTAAACTAAATCTTCTTCTTAATACTTGTTCAAAAGCCAATCCAGAAACTGTTCTACCAGGATAGAACTTCTGCATTTCCAGCAAGTCATCTCTGCTGGAATCAACCTGGATACTGCTGATCATCTTAACAAGTTCCGGATGAAACTTCTGCTGAAGCAAATCAGTATTCCAATGGCCATTCTCCAACATTAACTACTGAACACACAGTCCCTCCAAGGCAGCACAATCAGCAAAAGTCGGCCACTGGTTGATACATCTGTCAAGGATCCATATATCATTCAGCACATTGATCTCTTTGCCATTACCAACATTGCATCTAGTAATGTTTTTAAGAAATTTCCCACCATATAATAAGATCTTCTAAGCTTTAGAAGTAAACTTATTATGAGTACCATTCAAGATACTCTTCCCATACTTAGCTCTCATAGTTCTATGAAAAATTGTATCAGGTTTTTGAAGAAAATTCCAAGACAGATTTGCTCTTAAAGGTCCAGCCTTCAGCATTGGAGATTGTAATCCCAAACCTCCCATACTTCTTGGTTTGCAAAGATCATCCCAAGCAATGTAGTGAATACCATGACTACCATCATGTTTATCCCAAATAAAACTTCTACAAAGTTTTTCCATAGTAAGCAACACCTTCTTAGGGATCATAGAGTGTGTTATTAAGAAGTTAGGCATGGTCAAAACAGAGATAGTGATAAGAGTAACCTTACCACCCAAAGAAAGAAATTTCTTCCCCCAAGTATTGAGTCTATCCATCATATTAGTTAAGATATCATGAAAATCTGCTGCCCTCAACCGATTAAGTGATAACTTTATCCCAAGATAGCTCATCTCCTTGACTACTCTGAAGCTCAAAACTTTAGTAACCTTCTTTCTCATATGATTACTAACAATGTTTCTGAAAATAATTTGAGATTTATTAGTATTGACCCTTTGCCCAGTCCAATTACAAAAGTCATCCACAATACTCTTCACCTCCTTAGCAATATCCTTAGAGACTTGTGAAAAAATAATAACATCATCAGCATATAAGAGATGAGTAATTCTAGGACCTCTAGGAGAGATTTGAATACCAATATTAAGCCCCCTTTCATAAATGGAATTGTATAGCAATTGAGAGCACAAGATGTAGAGATAAGGGGAAAAAGGACACCCTTGACGAAAGCCACTATGAGCCATAATCCATTTAGAATTCCTCCCATTTATGATAATAGAGAACCTCACATTAATAATGCATTCCATAATAAGATTAGCATAACCAGAAGGGAAACCATACCATTTGAGGACGTGATCAAGGGTAGGCCATCCCATGCTATCATAAGCTTGCTCCATATCAAGCTTCAGAGCCATCATCCCCTTCCTATTTCTAGAAACTTTGAACTTGTGTAAAATCTCCTGGGCCAAGAGACAGTGCTCAGAGATAGATCTCCCAGGAATAAAAGCCATTTGTTCCTCAGTAATCATCTTGGGTATACACATCTTCAGTCTATTAACTAGCATACTAGCTACAACCTTGTAATTCGTCTGGCATAGGCTATTGACGGTAATTGGAAGGAAGCAATGGATTCTTTACTTTTGCAATCAAATCAATTAAAGTGTCTTTCCACTCTTTCCTCATACAACCATTAGTAAAAAAACTATTGACAACATTCCATAAATCTTTCCAAACTATATTCCAATAGTATTTATAGAAAGAGGAAGTAAGACCATCAATACCTGGGGAACGATTGTTCCCTTGCTAGAAGATTGATTTCTTAAGCTCCATCACCGAGAAACCTAAGATAAGAACCTGGATATCCTCATCATTCAACTTCTGGTGATCCAAAATTTCGGGCCAACCTGAGAGTTGACAGCTTCTATTCTTCCATTTTGATTCAAAATGTTGAATAAAAACCTTTTCAATTTCCTCTTCTTCAATTTGCATCATATTGTAAGCATCTTTAATTTGGTTCACTCTATTACCATTCCTTCTAGCCGTTGCAAAGTTATGAAACAACTTGGAATTATAGTCACCTTCCTCAAGCCACCTAGCTTTAGCTCTTTGATTCTACCATGTAGATAACCTCTTCAAGGTTACATAAGTTCATGAATTTTGCTTCTAAGTAAAATCAGGTCTTGAGCTGACCAATCATTCCCCATAGCTTCTTTAGATTGAAGTTCCAAAATTTCTATCTTCAGCTGAACTTTAAGTTCATTTAGATATTTGCATTTGCTTTTACTCCAAAAAGAAAAGAGCTTTCAATGTTCTGTTAATCTTCCTTTGTAGAACCATACTTTCCTCCCCAAAGTCATTCTTCATCCAAGAGTGATAAACAATGCTTCTAGCCGCTGGATACATCCTCCAAGTATCTTCAAATCTAATGATTTTAGACTTTACACGCTTCTTATCATTGACCTTGAAGGTAATAGGACTATGATCTGAAGCCACCCTAGCAAGATGCCTAGTAGCAGCCGAAGGAAGCAATTTCAAAGCAGTAGAATTCAACAGACATCTGTCTAGCCTCTCCCAAATCCTAGATGTCCCTTCCTTATTATTACATCATGTATACCTTGGACCAATAATCCCCACATCATGAAAGTCACAACTAGTCATAAAACCCTTCATATCTCTAGGTCCTTTGGTAAAAAGGAATCTTTTACCACCTCTTTCCTCATCTCTATTAAGCACACAATTAAAATCTCCCCCAATGAATGAAGGATTAGAACTCACCATACATTTATCCAACAAGCTCCAAAGAGTTTCACGCTCCTTGAAACATCTACTACCATACACAGTAGCAATCCTCCAAGATCCCATTCTAGGGATAGATAAATCTCCCACAATCACCTGAGAAGAAGTATCAGTAATCACAAAGTTCCCAATCTTCATATTCCATAACACTAAGATGCCACCAGAAAGACCTACTGCAGGAAAATGATAGAAATCCCATTTCTTACCAATAAGAACGTCAACATCCTTCCTATTGATAATACTCATCTTAGTCTCCATAAGGGCAATGAAAAAAACAACATGATCTTTAACCACCTCTTTCAAATACAGAGCAGCTTCCCTCTTCCTAGCCCCTCTGCAGTTCCAAAATAAAAGTGAAGACATTTAAACAAAGGTAGGGGAACTTACCCCAATAAGGGACACCATTCGTCCATCTCTTTTCTTCTTCTTTATTTTTTGATCCACCGGCCCCAAGGATTTCAACTCCTTGGCCAGTTTGACTCTAGCAGAACCATTCAAGCTGGGTTTTATTTCATTCACAGCATCAGTACTCATTCCTTCCTTTCTCTTAATCAGCAACTTAACGGAATCTTCCTGCTCCTCATGACAAACTATGTCATTGTCTTCATTTAAAATCGAAAAAGAATTATTCAAACAAATTCTTGCTTTGCAGTTTTCTGCCACTACACCTTTGTCTACATTAGTTCCTGGAACTGAATTTTCCTCCATATGTGCATTGTTTTCTTTTCCATTGGCATCCTGCTCTTGCAAAACTTTGTTCTGATCATTCTTTCCAAAGTTATCCTTCACATTGTTCTTACTAGAGTTGTTATTTCTATATCCATCCACACCTTTAAAAACACGTTTGTTTTTAAACTGGACATGAATCCAAGGCCCATACTCTTCATTGGTCACTGCTGTTTTAATTCCTCCATCCGTTTTCCTTACTTCACCAATAACTTCTTCAGAATTTCCCATAGCCTGATTCTTAATACCCAGAACCACCTTCTCCGGACATGTTTTCAATTCATGCCCCGCATGACCACAATGATAACAGAGTAAATTTATCTTCTCATATTCAACCCGTTGGAAGAATCTTCCGGCAAGACCATCAATCCAGACACCATTTGGGAGCTTCTTTTCCAAGTCAATCTTGACACAGATGCGGGCGAACTCTCTCTTTCCCCACCGAAATGTATTTCCATCTAAATACAACGGTGTGCCAAACCGAGAAGCAATTCTCGCAAGACTATCCTCATCCCAACAGAACAGAGGTAAGCACGGGAGTCTGATCCACACCGGAGCTGAAATCCATTTAAACGAATACGGATCAAATGCCGGTGACTATCTATCCATACCAACAATGCATCCATTGACATACCAGGGTCCACCATTTAAAACTTCATCCACCGCCTCACAAGTTTTGAAGGAGCAGAGGATCCAGTTCATACTGATTGAAGTCATGTGAAATCCGCCAAATTTGTTCCATTGTTTTCTCAGATCAAAACTACAAACAGAATAAGGAACATTACCTCCAAGGACTTTGATTACAATCGAATTTTTCAGCACTTCTGAATTTTTGGCTTCTATCACTGGATTGAGCTTCACCACAATACCATCATCAGAGAGTTCAACTTGCTCATTTTTAAAATCAATTCTAATATGCTTTGGCTTGGACCAGACTCCAATTACCTCACCAACATCGCCTTGTTCATTACAATTCAAAGTTTCATTCAGTAATTCCTTATCAGATATGTTTCCTTCTCCAGAAATTCCGTCATTCTTGGGGTTGAGATCAACATCATCCTGAATAGGACGAGACTGGTTCATCCAAGAAAAAATATTAACCTTTAAGACAGTATTCTTTATCTCCGATGATTCAAGATTATCAAGAATACAATTCTTATCATATCCTATTCTTTCCGCAACAATCCATCCCGATAAACCTTCATTCAAGATCTTCTTGCCTTTAGCTTCAATCACCGTTGGCCAAATCACCGATCGCGATCCTTATCTGATCACCAACCTACTTCTACCTCTACCACCCAAACGAAGAGGACTGGAATGACGCGGACTTTCCATGACATCGGCCAAGAATGCCGATGAGCTACCGACGACGGCACCACCAGCCGGAAACAAAACAGCGAGAGAAACAAATTCAAAATGAAAAAGGGGTTTTCTCTCTCTAGAAACCCGGACTCTCTCTCTCTCTCTAATCCGAAGGTTATTCAATCCCCCCCCCCCCCTGTTCTCTATGTGATTCAAGAAGAACAAAAACCAGTTTAGGTTCTTTGCCTCACCGAGGTCGGTGGAAAGGAGTTTGTGAAGGCTTCTCCATATTTTTGTGAGTGCAAAAGGAGAGTCACTGTGTTTTAGTGCAATACCTAGAGGAGAGGCTCCGGGGAGTGGATATTGGTTAAGCTGATCGAACCATTATAAAATATAGTGTGTTCATTCTGTGTTATTCCTGCACTTTATTTTCTGCATTTTAATTTTTGTGATTGATTGTGTTCATTTTCAAATATTCAAAATGGTTTTTACTTTGTGTTTAAGAATTTTTAAAATTACCAATTTATCCCATCTCTTGGTTAGCCTCGGGCTAGTTCATAAGGGCTTAACAATCATAACAAACTTTCATCAAGGAGCACCACTTACCTCATAAGCTTATCACAGTCTCTCCAATAAAATTAGTTCAACACATCCTCCCCACATTATTCTGCCAACCCACAATCCTTTACCACTTTTGGAGAACTTAGATCAATATCATTTTATTGAAGTCTCTTTAGACAAAATAAGAGATATATTGTTATATCTTATTTAGGAGGAATTCTCTTTTAGGGAATTAAATCAATTTACTCCACGATACAACTTCCAAGAATCATCACCTTTAATAAATGAAATTCTCTATCATCCTATTCTACTGGAATTCATGTTGTCCACTATTTAATCCATATGATAGATCATCTAATCCCTACAAGCGTATTGATCTTTTCAGGACCATCATGCATACTTGACAAACTTTTAATGCATTTATCTCTCAGGTCTTCCTTGATAGTCTCAACAGCCAAGCTTACACGTTGTTTTACTCTCTGTTATAATACTATCCATAACCTCACCTACCTTGTCAGACCTTTTGTTAAACAATTCATCATTAATCAAAGAATTATCAAGGATAATTTTCATCTTTCTGGGATTCCTCAAAATGTAGTAGAAACATTAAAAGTTCAGCTCAAAAGATTTTCCTCTAAAGAACATTAAAATTTAGGAGTGAATAAATAATTATTAAGAGGTGTTTTCTGGAGGTCTTTGACCATGACCATTTTACTCATCCTTGATGGAAGAAATTGTTTGCTCAAACCCTGATTTGATACATTCGGTCGATGCTCAAATAATTTTAGATGAAGCCTTAAATCTACATAGAAAGAAATTTGAGCAACACTCATCCAAACAAAAAAATTTACAAAAAATTGATTAACCTATACAAAGAAGAACGTAGGAGAAGTTAAAAAAATTATTCTCACCAAATTCATCCAAAGTCACCTAACTACAGTCATTTAACCAAATCAAGGACTAAAATTATAATGAAGATTCAAAATTTTAAACAACTCAAATAGTCAAAGCCCCTAAGAAAACCAATCAAAGAAGTTTAGTCTGAATACTATAACTTACAGCATTTAAAAGAATACTCAACTCAAAAATTCTTTCTATTAAAGGATGAGATTGAACCTTTGATTCACTAAGGATATTTAAGTCATTATATATAAACATGACTTATAGAGCATCAACATCATAATAAGGGAGATCAAAAGAAGCATGGCAAAGAAATTAAATTATTGACATTATTGAATAAGAGTACTATAATATTTAATGTTATTTAAAGCATCCAACTTTTTAGATTTTTAAAATTATATATCTTTTAAGCATGTTTTCTTAAAAATATTAATGAAAATTAATATAAATAATATTGTATATAATAATAATCCTAGGAAGGCATGCCCCTGAGGAAGCCTTGAAAGAAAGTTAATAGTGAATAAGGTCCTCACTAGAATGACCCTATGAGGAAAGTGGCAGACAAGGTCTCGACTCACGAACCCATAAATGCATGCCCATGAGGTATCCACGAAGGAAATTTAGTAGTGAAGAAGGTCCTCATTAGAAAACACCACATGAGGATATGTGGTGTCTATGGTCTCAACTCACAACCCCAAGACGGCATGCTCATAAGGTAGCCTCGAAGGGAAGCAAGTAGTGGATAATATCCTCACTAGAAATACTCTATGAGAGAAATTTGTTGATAGCGTCACCACTCATTCAAAAGCCTCAAAAGTTAAAAACTACATAAGGTTTAGAATTATTTAAAGACTTTAGAATATATATTAATTACTGTTAAGAAAAAATAAAAAAGTATAAAAAAATAAAAAAACTGGAGCACTGTAGAACTGTCGATAAAAAAAAAATAAATTTAATTTTATTTTATATATATACATATAAAGAAACCAGATATAATATTAAACAGAAAAAAAAAGTTATTAAGAAAACGGATATAATATTAAAGCGGAAAATAACATTTTATTAATAAACCGGATATAATATTAAACCGGAATTTTTTTTTTTTAAATTCAAATAGTAGTGCGGAATACCGATTTCTATTGAAATCAGATAATGAAGTTTCCATTTCTTTTTAAACCGGATAATTAAAAAAAAATTATTTGCTCTTTTTTTTTAAAAAAATTTTTCGTTGATATCCTCCTTAAACTAAACCTTAAACTAATTTAAACTTAAAATCTAATCATTTTTATAAATTGGCCCCAACTAACCATACAACTAAATTTATTTGATGACCGACAACAGCACTCGTTTAATAAAGAGTAATGTCCTGAAAATAAAATAGAAAATTTATATTTCATATTTATCTTTGACATATAGAAAATTTGTGTGTTTTAAACATTTACTCGCTTCCTATTATTCATTATTACAATTTTTTTATCCCCATTTATTTTTCTTCTTTTATGCGTGGGTGGGCCGATAGTTAGGCATGTGCTTTGCTAACTTCCTTTCTTCACCTTCCGGTCTTTCCCTAGCTACCAATCAATTCCACTTCCCCACTTCTCCACAAGCAGACTCCGCACCATAAAATCCTCGCCATTCTTCTTCCTTCCCAGCCGAAGCTACTCACTAAGAATACAAAATGGCCACCAAAACCAGCCCGCCTACTGCAAGAGTAGAGATCCTCGCAAACAGCGGCCTCTGCTCTATCCCCACCGAATTCGTCCGCACAGAGTCTGAACGCAAAGATATCGTAGACGCCCTCAACATCGTAATGAGACTAACAATATGAATCATCTGATTTTTAATCACAATTTAGAAAGCAGTGTTATGAATCGAAATTTTTGCAGGGGGCCATTGGGCATGGGATCCCAATTGTGGATCTTGGCGGGGTCTCGTCGGAGGAAGGGCGGTGGCGGTGCGTGGAGGAAGTGAAGGCAGCGGCGACAGAGTGGGGTGTGATGCTGGTTGTGAACCATGGCGTGCAGGACGAGATCATCGAGCGGCTGCAAGCGTCAGGGAGGGGGTTCTTTGACTTGCCGGTGGAGGAGAAGGAGAAGTATGCTAATGACCAGTCAAGCGGGCAGATACAGGGCTATGGAAGTAAGCTTGCGAATAATGCAAATGGTAAACTAGAGTGGCAAGATTACTTTTTTCACCTTGTCTACCCGAAGGAGAAGGCGGATCTCGCCATCTGGCCTACAGAGCCTGCGGACTACATGTAAGCAAATAGAACTATCGACTACGTGTTTTCTTTCTATGTTAATACGAGAAGTATTCTAATTCTTATAAGGCCTGCATTTTGCCTCTCATTTTATTCGGTACGTGCTTCAGTTTGATTTTAAGGGCGGATTTGCGATGCCGTCTGGATTGCTTTATGTTTTAAGATGCAATCATGTAACTGTTTGGGGTAATGCTTTTTAAGGTGTGGTAAAATTTTCACGTCCACATCTTACTTTTGGCAACCAAATAGAAGTCCCTCTGTTTAGGGAACAATTATTAGATCAGATCACCTGACGTAATTCTACATCCAGACGTCAATAATATGTCGCCACATGTTCTTATTCTTTACCGCGTGGCCCAACGACCCGACCCAGACCCGGACCCGGTATTGCTATGTATGGCTGATTTGTGCAAACCGGGGTATTGCTAGATATTGCTAGGTATTGCTCGGCAATAACGAGAAATATCATTCTGTCAAGATCAATACCTAGCAATACCGAGCAATTCCCTGATTTTGCTAGGTATTGCTCGGTATTGCTAGGTATTACTCGGTATTGCTCGGTATTGGTCTTGAAAGAGCAGTATTTATCATTATTGCCAAGTAATACCTAGCAATACCTAGCAATACACGAACATAGCAATACCGGGTTCCGGTCCATGTCGCGTTGTCGGGCCGCGCGGTAAAGAGTAAGAGCACATGGCGACATGTTATTGGCGTCCGGATGTAGAGCTACGTCAGGTGTCCTGACCAAATAAAAGTTCTCGTTTAGGCGCGTTCCGCAATTCTGATATGACAAATGGCGTAAATACCCTTCGTCTACTTGGGCGATATCATGTTGAAATTTTATCCCCCTTGTTCCAAAACAATTCCAAATTTCTTACCTCCGTCTTCACTCCTTCAGCCCTTCATCAAGCTTCACTTTAGAACAATCAGGCGAACAATATCATAGTACCGAACACCTCAAAAAACATAAACCTCCTTTGCATGCCAATCACCACCATCATCGTTGCCACAGCACCACCGAGCTGAGATAAAGGTATGCACTAAGGATGCCCAGGTTTAGTGACATGTCGTAGTAAACCATGCCGATGCCAAAGCTCACCACCATAATTGCTGACAGCTAGGGGTGTCAAAATGGGTCGACCAGTCGGGTTCGGGTCAAACCCGACATGACCCGGGTCTAAATGGGTCAACCCAAACCCGACTCGATTTTACAAAAGGGACGGGATTTCTAACCAGTACTCGGCCCATGTGGGTTGCCGGGTTGACCTGACCCAACACGTTTACAAAATGTCGGGTGATGGTTGCGCCAGCGTGCGAGGACAGCTAGCGGTTGTGATGTCTTTGACATCCGGCGAGGCCAGCGCCAGCGTGCGAGCAGTTCAGGGCGAGGTCGAAGCTAGGTGAGACTGGGTGAGACCGCGGTCTTGCGGCGTCCTGGCGAGGCCAGTGCTAGTGGCCAGCGTGCGACCGGATTGCGGGAGAGGACCGCGACTTTCGGGCGAGGCCAGCGCTAGCCTGCGAGCGGACAAGAGGGCTTGACGTGGGTCCGGGTTAAAACCGGCTTGTCGTGGGTCAAAACCAGGTTGATCTTGGGTTGACGGGTCAACCCGAACCATACACAATTTTTAAACGGGTTGAAATCTCGAACCCGAATCCTACCATACACAATTTTTAAACGGGTTGAAATCTCGAACCCGAACCCGACCATACACAACTTTATTAAAATACTTATGCGAAGTCTATTTTGGATGCATCACATTAGAATGTTTTAAAACGACTTAGATTTCTTTTGGGGTAGCTTCCATATTATTTTCTTAAGCAACTTTTTAGTACAAAGTTATCTTGAACTATGAAATTTTATACTAAAAAGCTTATTTGGAAAGCATAAATAAAATTGTCCCAAACAAAATTTTAGTCTACGCTTAGACAAACGCTGCCTAAGGCCATATTAAAGACCCCTCTTGAGACATTTCATCAAGTCTCACAGTAAAATTAGGCTATGCTGGCTTCTAGAATTCTGCAAAATAAACTTACCAACTCACAAGATTATTTGTAGTTCATTAAAAGCAACTCATCCATAATCAAGAGAAGTTTATCAAATTGAAGAAATCGCCAACTCATCTTTAGCATTGTGATAAAAGTTCTTTTAAATCTTGATATATGTTACGCAACCAAATTTTTAATCTTCTTTGGCGATTTCTTCAAATTATCATATCAAATTTGGTTGTCTAGACATATATTACCCCTCATGAGACATTTTTATGCTAATCTATTTGTATTTCTTTTAATGTTGAACCTCGCCTAAATTTATAAATAAGGAGTCAGATGATCATTTAAACACATCCTTCATGGTAATCAGTATGTTCTTTTTGGCATATAAAAAAAATAAGATTCTTGGATTTTTTTTTTCATCAAATCTTTTTTTTTTTTGTTCTCTTTTATCTCTCTTTTTTTCTCTTTTAGGCTCAAACTTTTCATATTGGTAATGTTCTAGTGTCATCCTTAGATAAATTTTTAACCAACTTATTAAAAGTTATAATTGGACTAGAAGATAGTGAGGATAAGTAGTCAAGCCATGACATGTCCTAATTAAAAAAAATACCAATAGTTCAAACAATATTATTTTGTAACTATTAGAATACTCACTACAGGAAAACAGCTCATTTCCGGCAGAATTTTCACCGGAAATAAATTCGTCACTAATTCCGACGGCTTTTCCGGTGGATTACCGACGATTTTTTCCAGCGCTTTTCTGACGGATTTTTTTTTTCATTTTCCGACGAATTTATTTCCAACGGAATTTCCGACCAATATTAATTTTTTTTCTAAAAAATTGATATAATAAATATTTATAATTAATTATTTCATTAAATTAAGTTAAATAATTTAATAACTTATTATGAAATAAAATTATTTAAATATGATATTTTAAATGAAATTTATTAAATAATAATTAATAATTCATTATTAAAATAAATAAATTTAAATATTATTAAATTAAATTTATTAAATAAATTATATTAATAATTAATTGTTAAATTAAATTAATAAATTAGTCCGCTAGAAATATTTCCGGCGAACCATTTTGCGTCGGTATAACTTTTCTGATGCGCGTTATACCATCGGAAACAAATCCGCCGGAAATACTAATTTTCGACGGATTTTGAGCATTTTCCAACGAATTTTATCCGCCGGTAACATGCGATTTTTCTGTAGTGACTCAATCAAATGAAAAAAAAATGTTTAACTAGACAGATTTATGGAATTTTTTTTGTAATTTTTATTTTTGGTCGTCACTCTAGTAAGATTCTATAAACTGCCATATTTCCTAAGTTAATGTATCCTTAGAAACCTCTCCTTTAGTTTAGCGTTCAATTAAACTTATCTCTAACAAGAAAGTACTAAATCACCTCTTCATTTGTCAAGCCATGGAGCACCAACTTCAACCATCCAATGCATTTTCTATTCAAACAACTGAAGTCCATCACTTTCCCAATATTAAAATCCTCTAACTTAATTCTTATTCTAGAAATCCAAATCCACTCAATAGACTATGTCACCTACTTTTAGTGAGCAACTTCTCTTCTATTTTTAATCTCACTATGGAGTACCACATTACACATTTAGTATGTGAAAGACAATTTATGATGCAACTGAGTGAGAAAGGTTGCCACAACCTCAACATTAATTTGCAAAATTTACCCTTTTTTTGTTTCACTCATTAAATTCATGGATGTGATTTATAAAAATAATACTTATATTGCCCAATACTAATGTTTGTTAGTTTTTATGCCCGAGATATAACAAAGTGTTGCATGTTCTATAAGAATCATATGCATGATATAAAGGAATGCAAAATTTTTCATTAAAAGGTTGAAAAATTGGCTCGTTTTGAAATAAAATGATTGATCCTTGTTTATCTAAAGATACATCCCAAAATGGCACAATGGAAGAGCAATAAAATGTGTATGTGTTCTAACACAATCAATCCACATTCTACGAGTTATACCATAGTATCTAAAAATGGGTGGACAAAAAGTATATAGTTAAGCAACAGTGAAAGGACTTTGATTGGGGTTTTTGCTTCTTATTACAACTTCATCAAGACATTATGTTGAGATTTTTGTGATTACCTTCACATATAAAGAATGAATAATAAATAATAATCCATATAATGATGTGATTAACGACATGATGACATTAATTAATTTTTGAATTGGTGGCATTCTTTTTGGCACAAAAAAGTTCTACAAAAATTATCTTTAAAAGATATTTTATCTAAAGGCATATTACAATTTCAAGTTGGTTTCTATTACTATGTATTTTATGATTACTTTAGTGAATGCAAGAAAACTAAATGAATAATTACACTGTCGTAAACATTGGAAAATGGTGGTCGATAATTGGCTATAATTAATGACAATTGTATAGTCTACTTCTTGATAAATATTTATATTGTTATATCTTATTCTATACTCCTCAACACTTTCAAAGAAGTAATAATTGCAACCAACCATGTCATAGTTAATTTCCTTATATCATCGTTATTAATAAATTTTCTCGTTATCCTAATATGTTACATGAAAATAGTGGGGTATGTCTTAAACAAGGTGTTACAACTCAATGTTTTAAGAGGAGTTAGACTCAAGGCCCCTGAAGCAATTACAAAATTTTGTTATGTCTAAAGATAACCTAACTCATACCTTTTTTAATAAGTTCATCCTTTTATCCAAAGTCTAAACCTAAACTTAATTACCATTCGATCTAATGTTGAAGTATTTGTTTTATTTATTATAGAAATGCCCAAAGTTTATATTAATATTACTTATTACATAATAAATAGTGATAAGCTTATATATCTGGTTGACAAAGCAAATAAATAATTAAGGCACAACTACCAACTTCATCATAGAAGAACAATGCCTAAAAAGGATTCAAATGTAGTAATGGTGCAAAAGTTGAATAAGAAGTGAATAATATATGTGGATTTTCCA